GATATGTGCCTGTAGTCCCAGCTACTCGGGAGACTGAGACAGGAGGATCGCTCGAGCACAGAAGGTAAAGACTATGAGGTAAGCCATGATCGCATTACTGCACTCCAGCCTGGGTGACAGAGAGAGATCCTGCCTCAAAAAGAAAAAAAAAACAGAGAGAGAGAAAGAGTTTCATGATTTAAAAAAAAAAAAAGTAGCCAGCAATATTAAGTGCTCAATAAAACTGGTGGATTTGGCAATTATGGAGATCCCTGGAAAACTCTGAGAACAGTTTCAATAAAATTTTGGTAACACCAGTTTGCAGACATTTAAGGAGTAAATGGGTGGTAAGGAAATTTAGAGAAAAGAGTAGAAACTATTCCAAAGGTTCCCAACTGGGGACTTTACAAACATATTAACGGAGATCAGATGGGTCTTATCAATATTTCAAACAGCCATATGAAGAATAAATTTACCCTCTACAAACCTACAAAAGATTAAGAAAAATTTTAAGCTTCTCTGTTTCTCTAATTAGCAGCTCCATACATGTATTTTTCAAATGTATCACCATTTAATAAATGCCATGTTTGGCAGACAGGCTCCTTCGTATCATAAAATCTTTGGTAAAAATGAGCTAAAAGATTACTAAGTAATAAAGGGTAGGGAATCATGGGCCTCTTGAAAGAAATCCAGCACTGAAGAGAATAAATGCAATATGAATGACTGCATTCCAACAGAGCTCAGAAACTCAGACAAAGGTTTTGTTAAGTTTCTTGTTAGTTGGTTTGCTGCTTTTCCTTTGTTTTCAGAAGCAGAAAAAAGACTAAGACGTTAGGTCAAGATTAAGAAATGAACACAAAGAAATGTTTAAAGTTCCAGAAAGAAAAGTAGCTAAATGGCACCGAGGAGAAAGATGAAGCACGAGGAAAACTGACAGAGCTTACAAATGCTGCAGCGTCATGCGTAAGTTACAGCCTGTGTCTAGACAAATATGGATGCATTCTCATCCTCAAAAAAAGCTGTCCTGTAGAAATTCAGTTAACCAGTTAGATAATTAAACCAACCGTAGCTACTAGAGCTACAGCACATAGAAGTAAAGAGATTCTGAGTCTGACAAACATGGGACTCAAATTTCTGTTCCTCTACTAACTGTTTAACCTTAAAGCTACTTAGCTTCTCTGAAGATGTTTCTTCATCTAGCAGTAACATCTACCCCATAAGCTATTAGCAATACCAAAAGACAATACATGTAAAGAGCTTAGCACAGTGCCTGGCACAAGACAACCATTTAAGAAACACAGCCATAATTGTTATCATAAAAGATGTTAAAACATTTTTCTGACCCTAGGATTGAGAGGACCTAAGATTTAAGGAAACAAATGGAATGGGAAAGATGAATATGCTCCTGACAAAATTCTTTAAACTAATATATGTCAAAAACACAAAACGATATTAAAAATAATTTCTAATCACACAAAAGGAAAAAAATGATATGGAATTGACTTATGTTATTTTTCTCTTACAAGAAAAAGATAAAAACTCCAATACAAATATATGGATCAACATACTCTTAGCTTTGTATAAACTATTCCAGACTCCACAGTTTAGGAATCCATACAGACAGTAATGGAGACGAGATGGGTATTTTTCAGTACTTCAACATGTGCCTAGTAAAGTGAAGCATTTTAGAGACTGTAAAGTTCTAAATTTGGGGTACAGCATTCCTTATGTCCTTAAAGGAAAAGAACTACCTGAAGTATAAAATAACAGTATTTGAAAGATTCGGATAACACCAATTCAATATTTCACACATTAATGCAAATCTATTACCATTTTAATTATAAATAAAAAATAACTATAACCAACCTAAAGATTTTTCAAGCTATTCTAAAAAAC